TATAAACGGTTAACATTTGTGCTAACCGAGACAACCCTTAAATTGAGTATCAATCTCAGGACTGGCTGTTAAATGATGGCATAATAATCACTTTAATAAGGTAATATCCTTCTAAAAGCTGAGTTCAAAGCTAGTTTGATATTCGTTCTTTTTAAGAAATCTTGAATCTTAGAGCTTTAAAGCAGGCTGTATATTGGTGGTCACTTTATTTGAAAATCATTCTCAGAATCAGGTGGAAGTTCTTACATTGAATATTGATGGACAATATCAAATCTGAGAGCTAACTTCTCGGAACTTAATCATGTTCTTTTATACTTCCTCCCTTTGTCGTTTTCTGTCGCAATTTAACATAAAAAAAAACAAATGAATTGACAGTATCTTTAACATGCGTTATGAGTTAGATCAAGTGTAAGCAGATATAAAAAAATGAATTCTCTTGTATATCATCTTGGAGATGGCTTTTTGTTCTGGTATGCACTTGTTACAAGCAAAAAAATGATAAAAATAGAATTTACCCATCGTTTATTTTTTTACGCAGAATTTCTTGGTCATATCTCGGCGATTGGTCTAACTTACCACCTTTTCTGGATAACTTACGAATAATGACCAACTTCTCAGTTAGTGACAGACTAGTTATCTCACAAAATAATATTTCTTAATCAGTGTTGATAGACAAATAACTATCAGACTAAATGTCCGGGATCAATTGTCATGTAGAAAGTTCGCCTCGCCCTATGATCAAACAGCGACCCCTGTATTATAAATTCGATGCTCTTCCTGTTAACCAAGTGACGGATGTCACTCCTTTTGGCCGATTGAAATAAAATATTATAAGCATATTATAGTGAGATTTTATTATCAAAGACCATCATATCGGATGCTATAAATCGTTAAAACGAAACGATATTTAAAGAACGGACACACAATAATTATGATAAGCTGGTGCAGGATCGGGAAAATGTACTGCATCTACGGTCCCGTTCCTTTGAACGTACCATGTTAGAAGAAACATTAAATAATTGCTGGAGAGATGACCTCGTGCCTAATTTGTCTGCCTTTCAAATACAACACACTGATCGCAGGTCCGAGTCATACAGGTCTATCCTTATGAAATCAGCCCTGACTTGCCCCAAGAGGCGGACTCGAAATATAAAATAACGTACAAGTTTTACTGATTCTCATTCGAGCTTTAATGGGTGATTTTTAAATCACTTCCCAAAAATAGTCAGTACAAATGTATATCCAATTTTGAATATAATATCACAAATCCAACGTTCATTTTAGCTTTTTTTTACATTTTGTATGTAATAAAGTTTCTCTTTTTCAATTATCAGAGCAGATCTCCCATATCTCAGATAGAAAGTTTATTCTTCGTGACTTGTGTTCGTGAGTACTAGTCTTCGGCGAGACATTTCTTTTTATGTGACAGTAATGTTAAGTGACGATAATGCGTATATCATTGTTTCATTATCTTGAGAAATGACAATTTCTTTTAAAACATACCAAACACAGTAACAATAAAGCAACAAAGAGACACTATTGTGGTAGAACAGTACTAGATAGATTGCACTTAAAAAGCATATACTAACTATATGAACCCACCATATAATTATGACTAAATTATTGAGAACTTTAACTTTTAAAACCAAATTAAGCAGTGTAAATTTCAGAGCGAAAGAAGCGTTGAGACAGGCAATAATTACCGCTCTGTTACAAACGAAATGGTGTCCGCTTATTATCATATATTTTTCCACTAAAATGTAACTTTTATATAAAAAAGACACAATGTTTATTTCATGTGTATAAAAAACTCAGAAGTAGAAGTAATATATCTTCTATCATATTGCCTTGTGTTATTTAAACTACATGTATGTTAATATACGTTTAGGCACGCATGTAATCAAGCCATTCTTTCTAAGTTTTACCATCAAATTTCTTCCTGTGAAGTGAAATATTCGTTCGTTTATTTTGTCATCGTTTGGGTTGATTATGTTATCACAACTTTCAATAGCACAGTTGGAACCCGACTACTTTATCAACAACATTTTGACAGTTTTGTCGTGTTTTGTCTTCGCTCTTGTTATTAAAGACTTCTTGTCGATCTTCATTCAACTTTGTTTTTATTCCCTCTTGAATGGTGATCACAGCTCGGCTCGGGTGTGTATTGTCACAGGGCAGTATTCAGACCAGGAGGGTTATTGTCGAGCGGCGTAATTAATGTGCTTGTAATTCATTTTAAGGAGGGGTGACACGCCCATGTATTTGAACGCCACATGTTATGGTTGAGATGACAATAGTGAACACCGGGGGGCTCTGGTCTACAGGGATGTTAGGGTGACAAAGTATCAAAAAATCAGACACCAAGAACAGCAGCATTGAAAAAACTGATAACTTCAATAGGTCACATTAGTATTGTATCGTTATATAGTACTTTTAATCTCATTAAATTATCTTCCGGGATTTATTTTTAGCAGTGTAACGTGACCTTGCCTGTTAAAACTAACTTCAATAAGTTCTATCTTCCCATTATACACCTAAGTGACTGAAAATGATAGAAAATGAAAATAATATTAAATGAAATAAAATAATATAAATTGTATTGAAATAAAATCAGATTTATGTTAAATTTTGTTTCCTTGTGCAATATAAAAAGCAAACTTCTGCTTTGTTTGCAAATACGTGTTCAGATTAACCAGATTAGAAGAATATTTATAGACCTGCCAGTAGAGATTACCATACACTGCATTGCATTTAAAGTGATGAAGAAATTAATATATTAAAAACTCCATATTGAGGCAAAATAACGCATAAAATAAGTTTTAAATATAATATACTGCGTGGTTTGGCCACCCTGTGTATATTGGTGGGCGCAATTTGTATTCATAATACAAAACAATTATTGAACAGGACAAGATACATTAAATTATCACTACTAAGATGGAAATAAAGATTTTTTTCCCTCTTGACATTAACTGGATTATCATGTTCAATGTATCATATACATTTTCCAGTACGTTAATTCAATACTCTAATGTTATCATAACTTAGTGATATTCGTACAAAGACAAAAAAGATAAAAATGTAAAAGCAATCTTTTTTCATCTGTTTTTATTCTCAAAACAAATTAATAAATACATTAACAAACAGGCATAGTCAATGGAAACAAAATTGAACAAAACAAGTAATATCATGCAGCTTATATTCATGGGGCAAAATTTAAAAAAAATGAAAAATAAAGTTTCATTTAATTAAAGAAGATATCTAAAATGGCAAATCATAAATAAGATATTTCCTTCTGAATTTATATAAAGTTTTATGTGGGACGTATAACCAACCCTTTTAAATGTAGCTTTTTTCTTTACTTGGAATTATGAAGTACACGTGACAATTTCATAAAAAGACCATTAAGCGAAATAAAAATCACCTTATGAAGCGGACAACTCAAAATTAAGTAACGCATCCACATTTTTCTTTTTTGAACATTTGTTTCGTTAATGATTCTTTATAATCATACAAAGTTTAAGAAAATTCTGTCCATTAGAATTTCAATTTTTGCCTAAGTACAAAAAAACTACGTGCGAGATATCTCTTTTACTGATTTGACTGACTTTATTAAAGAGTTATTACTTTATAACAACTTTAAAAAAACGTACTGTTTTCAAAACTGAATACATGTAAAAGCATTTTTCATAATAAAACAATATTTCTCTAATATCTTTCCTTTGACTCAATATGTCAAATAAATATTATGTTTGAGACATTCAGTATCACATCATACAAATATAACAAGCACTTTTATATCCATATGAGCCGTGTCACGACAAAACCAACATAGTGGGTTTGCGACCAGCATGGATCCAGACCAGCCTGCGCATCCGCGCAGTCTGATCAGGATCCATGCTGTTCGCTTACCAACTTTATTACAAGTGGAGAAACTGACAACGAACAGCATGGATCCTGATCAGACTGCGCGGATGCGCAGGCTGGTCTGGATCCATGCTGGTCGCAAACGCACTATGTTGGTTTTTGTCGTGACGTGGCTCATATATCATTACAACATTAAACATTACAGGATTCACAATTTTGTTTCTTTAAACATCCTGTCAGGACTAAACACAATACTTAGAAAATATTGTTTTATTTTCAATAAAGATATTTATCTTTGTTCAGTTAGAAGGTACGATATATGAAACCATAAAACGTTTTTAATTTTTTTTATTAAACTCAAACTGGTGTTGGTACATGAATTAAGATCATTTACCATAAGGAAATATGTTCTATAATTCAGATTTAAAGCAGCATGCCTCTAGATTTTAAAAAAATCAAACTTTAATAAAATGTACTAAGATTTAAGAAAAGTAAAAGATTTAAAATTCAAGATATAATTTACATGTTTTGTGCGATTAATGACTGATTTTGCAGTAATTTTTATCATATTTCTACTGCGTGAGTAACGCATAAAGGGCCATTTTTGCATATTCTTACCGCTTTTAGTAATTTAAGTGGATTGAAAGTGCCGTTTGCAATGCGAAAATTATTTTTTTTTGCTTCACTTCAATCAATTTTACTTTTAAATACACTTTCAAAATTTTCATAAAAACAGCACATGCTACTTTAGGAAGGAAACATTGAATGTATAGTACTTGCAAAGCAAGATTATTTTTATATATATCAATATCTTTTTTAAAGAAATCATTTTTTTTTACGCAAAGTATTTTGCAAAATAGTTAATAGTGAAAGTAGGAAAAAGAAAGATAAAAAGCTATTTTCAGCTTTTCAAAATATTACCGTAAAGATATGTACACGAAAATACGCAAAAATATCTTTTTTAGAACGAATGAAAAACCAAAATGTTGATTCAAATAAAGAAAAATATAACACCTCTATTTAGGAAATAATAGTGGTCTTTCTCCACAGAAAATTAATGTAATTTAATATAGCGACAAATTTAATATAAATTAAAGATGATAATTGATTGAGCCGCGTCATGACAAAACCAACGTAATGCGTTTGCGACCAGCATGGATCCAGACCAGCCTGCCCATCCGCGCAGTCTGATCAGGATCCATGCTGTTCGCTTACAAACCCTATAACAAGTAGAGAAACTGATAGCGAACAGCATGGATCCTGATCAGACTGCGCGGATGCGCAGGCTGGTCTGGATCCATGCTGGTCGCAAACCCATTATGTTAGTTTTGTCATGGCACGGCTCATATAGTATTATATACAAATGTTTTTTTTATTTTAAAAACCAGACACCATTTGTGACATATTTATTTTCACGTTGACTGTATCAATCTCTTATTTGATAAACGGACTCTTGTCGTCCTTTGATCTGAGCTTTCATTAAGAGAGTCGCCATCGACTGTTGCCAGCGTTGAGCAGCCTCAATGTCGAGTGAAGATCCCAACAATCCTTGCGTTGGAATTAAAGAGAACCTCGACACTTGACCCACTGGTCTTAATAAAGTCTGTTTGCCAGCATTATAAAATGCAGCGATGCTTTGCGTGTTAGAAAAGTTATTGGCATTGAAATATGCTGGTGACGTAGGACATCCTTCAGGCATTATGCTCTGATTTTTAGAACCATTTTCCTCTGAGAAACTACAGTTAAGATTATCTGGAGAGGAGGAATCACTCATACCATTGTTTTCCCCTACATCTGGATGGCTGTCTGTATACTCTGTTGTATCTTTTTCTCTATTATACCTCGGAGAATACGACGAGTTCACGCTTTCTCTATCACACTCGTTGTTTTGACTGCAAAGCGTTTCCTTTTCTTCATTTGAATCATGCATGAGTTCCTTGCTATTGTTGCCGTTAACCAAGTCCGCGTGCATGTTGGCCTCTTCATTAGCTTGTTTTTCATCATTGTTTTCAAAGCACATACGGTCTCTGTTATCGATGTTACCGTTTTTATCCGAATCAATTGCAGATTTTATGCGAGAATCGTCATCAAGAACAAAAATATCTGCTGGCTCTTCAACGTTCACGACCGACATCCTGGTAGTATGCGCGCGTATTTCCTTATACCGATCTGTATCTGGAGCTAACAAGCTTTCAACATCAAACTGTCGCCGAAATCCTTGTCTTTTTTTCTGGTCGTTGACTTTATTGCTGAGCAATCCGTTATTGTCAGACGGTGGCGATGAAGTACAATCTTCGGCCGGAGTTTCATCCATGTTAACCTCGACTGAATTTGTGACCCAGTTTCCGGAATGAAGTGCAGGCGCTGGTGAAGCCGCCGGGCTGTCGTCATCGTCATCATCAGGGACGGACAAACCCATGTGTTTTCGAACTCTTCGTTGAGCACGTCGTCTGCGAAAATCTCCTTTCTGAAAGTCTTCCAAATTGGCTGGATGTATTGCCCAGTAGTGACCCTTTCCATTCGCGCTTCTCCCAGATTTAATGAAACAGTCGTTAAGCGAAAGATTATGCCTTATGCTATTTCGCCAGCCAGGTCCTCTGCAAAAAAATATGATTATATGATCAAAGAAAGTCAAAAACTTTATTAAATAAACAAAATAGAGCCATTCTACCAAATCATTGTCCGTTATTTGCCATAATGTGCTCTTAATTAAAGACTTGGGTGGTGTTTAAATGATTATTTAATTATAGAAATGTTTATAAAGTACATCAAATCCATTGTATCGTATTTCTGTATTGGTCAGTGAAGGTAATCTGCTATTTCAGTATTTGAATCAGAATAAAATTTAAGTGACTCTCTCTGAACTCTCAATTGCTCAGTCTTACAAAAAAAAAGTAGTACATTTTGGTTGCTTGTTCATAAAAAAACCCTCAATTTCCTTAACGGGATTTCAAATCACAGCCATAACAGGCAAGCAATTAGAAATCATTACCATCACCCACTTAGCCTTGGAACCAATAACCCATCTACGTTCGTTTACAATTACATACTTACAACAAGAGAAGATTATTATTGTGACAATATTAAAAATTGTTACCTTGTTCTAAAGTAGCTGTAGTTATCTAGAATCCATTGATAAATGTCACTCAGTACAAGTTTCTTGTCACGCGCACTCAAAATTGCCATCGCAATCAAACCTGAAAAAGATAGGTCATCATAAATTTACCGTCACATGTAAATGTATAATTTTAAAAAAAAGTATTTATGCGCACATGTTTTAAATGTTTTGCTGCTTTCTCAATTAAATAAAATGTATCGCACATGAAATATTCCACACAATTAATTGCGTTTTTACATCACGCGATTTCAGCGTCAAATGTTACGTCATTTGACGCATTACACCAATAATACTAATTTTAGCAACTTTCTATACAACTGCTTGTAGAGAACCATCTTGAAGACTCTTCAAAATCATTTTACAAAATTAAGTGCTCGAACTTTTAATATCTGTATATTTCAGAATTACAATTGGATGATTTTTACGCTCATGATATTAATACTGTTTTCATTTTGCTTAAATTTGTTTCAAAGTAGATTTCTTAAGCACGTAACTTTTTAAGCTTTCATCTTTCAAGAAAAGTTATTATTTGGGCAACATAAAATTACGATTTTTACAATTTTAACGTGACTCATCTATATATAAAGTGCATGTTATAACTTATAAGTTTTTCAATGTTTTCGCAAACAACCAGATGCGATAATAAACTGATAAATGGACGAAACACCGATAAGTTGCTGACAATACTTCACCGCAATCATACTTGCCGTCGTGTAATAAACAAATAGTCAAATTACAGCAGCATCCGATAAAAAAAACGAGTGTTTGCTTTGTCATGTTAGAATTCAAGTTATTATTCAATAATGACATTGATTATATATTGTCGTCTGCTACGGAAAGACATGAGGTTTTGACATGAACTGACTTGGCAGAGTTAAAGTTGGTCTTGCAATAGAATCTTGAACAAAATTGTTGCCTCTTGATGATGATGGTGATGATTATGATGGCATAACAGACAGACAGACAGACAACGAACTATTAAAGACATACTTTTATGTCTTTGTTTTTATGTCTTTTGATATAATAGTTATACGATGGTTATATTGAAAATAATAGCACATACAGAAGAGCAAAGTAACGAAATTATCGCATATAAACATGATAGTCTGCAACGTGAAATGTCATCGGAAGTGATTTTTTTTTGCCAACTTGGAACTGTTGAGATCGTGCGAATAAAAATAAAGAAAAATGTAGAAAACTAGTAAATTATGGTCATCAGTCGATGTTTACATTAGAAAAATTACCTTTAAAATGATTGATTCAAAGGTATACTTTAATAACTGCAACAATTGTTTCGTGATGTATATCAGCTTTTATTTGGTTCTGAATATTTAAACAATTGATTAATATATTACCAAAATCTATGTATTATATTTCAGAAAAAAATCTCCTCCATTTGATGACAATTTAAATTTCTATTTATATCGATATTTTGTTACCTAGTTCATTAATTATATAAATATCTGCTAGATTTGAGATCTTGAAGAATTGTATAATTGTCAAATACAAATCACAATTTACTGCGCATTTTATAATGTAACTGCAAAATGCACTGTTTATTGGTGTTGTTTCTTTAATTACAAGAGAATCAAAATGAACATTTATCTGTGGATGTAATTGCTGTAAGAAACCTCCTCAAAATGCATGCAAAAAACTAATTATCATTGATGAAATTCAGACACATGAAATTGCATGTAAACAGAGCAATGATTTGGAATAATCTTGCAGAAATGCCATGCGAGTTGTTCTAAATGTTATTTATTAAAGAGTGTGTCTATTTTTTCAGAAGTTGTTTTCAAAAAGTAAATTTAAATATTATTTGTTTACGGAATTTCTTTACTGGATGGGATGTATAATTGTGTCAGTTCTACGCCTAGCTCTACTCTTCTAAATACCAGTATGTTCGGATGTTTAATGTATTGTAAAAGAAATCATCGTCGTTATTATCATAACTAAAATATTTATAATAATAATAATAATAATAATAAATAATAATAATAATTTAATAACCATTATATGTATGTCAGAGTTATCTACTGAGAACATTTCATGTTTGTAAAAATAATGATACGATTATAAAAACATTATGTAACATTACTAAATATTGTTGTTCTCTTTTTTTTAATACATTATTTGCAGGTGCCGTTAACCCAGAGTTTGTTTGCGTTTTCAAACTTGGCTTCAGAAATTGTTTTTGTGTTTCAGACGTTAAGACATATAAATATTATCACATTTTTTGAATATTGTTTAACCGACAAATCAAAGCAGGCAAAAACCTGAATGTGTTTATTTAGTACCATAGCAATATAACACATTCCTAGACTCATATAATATATGGTATAATATATGTTAATATTCAGTGATAATTCATATAAGATTATAGAATATAGAATATTTTGTGTTTTAATAATCTGCTACAGAGAGTCTTTGTTCTTACTTAGTCCTAAATTGCTTGTTTTATGGTGTATTGAAATAATTATTTTTGAATTATTGTATCTTTTATATATATATAGAAAGAAAGCAATACAATATGGTTAAACTAAACTAATTTTATAAAACAGAGTGCCTAATAACTTAAAATGTTAATCACCGACATAGCTTTTCATTGTTAACAAATTGTTGTTTAGAATAATTTCGTTGCTTTTATATATTAGACACAAACATTGCCATACACACGACATTGTTGGTATTACTTGAGCCGTATTGAAAAGAATAATAATTTTCGATACAATAATTAAAATAAAATATCTTTAATACCAATATATATAACAGGAATATGTCTTGTGTTTTTTGTTGTTGTTGTGTTGTAATAGGGTTGGTAAGCGAACAGCATGGATCCTAATCAGATTGCGCGGATGCGCAGGCTGGTCTGGATGCATGATGGTCGCAAACGCATTATGTTGGTTTTTGTCATGGCGCGGCTCATATGTATGTTCAAGTTGTATCTACATGCTGACAAGCTTTCTACCCTATTGTGACAGAACACTTAAAATACACACCCTTTACCATATTGTTCAATATAGAATTACGCTGTGAATATTTAATATGTACGATGTATAAGATACGGTTGTTAGTTTATAGAAAAATAAATAATGTCTTTAAAACCTAGTTGTCACCAAGTTACCACTTTTTTGTTATAAGACCAAGGAACATGTTGCACTTTCTTAGAATACGCCCTCTGTTTTCTTCATATAATATATGTGACAAGTTTAAGACATTACAAAATTATAGTTTTTTATGGGACAAATGACATATATTGTAAAACAATCTTTTGAAATTGGCCACCTGAAAATATCATTGACTTGAAAAAACTGTAATTTATCATATATATTCGAGTGTTATGGTTTATAATAATATTCCTTTTTGTTGTAAAAACAATTTGACAAAACATGCTTATAGTGACGTCATTTTACATTTTAATAATTTATTTCGTCACTTAGTCTGCATTTTCGCAGCAAATGATGAGCTCTTTTAAAAATGTGTCCTTTTATTGCATAATTGAATATAACTTGTTAATTCCTTCAGAATATGAGACACAATCTGAATACGAAGACATAGATATTTGAAGCAGCAAGCCTCCAGATTTATGCTAATTTTCATGAAAATTTTTAGTTAAAAAAAAAAACAACAAAATATTGTGAACAAAGAAAATAATTTACATATTTTGATTACGGTACTTACATTGAAAGTTAAATTCCAAAACGAAGTCAAAATATGCATAACTGCGTTAGTCATGCAGTAGACTTATGGCTATGAATAATGCAAAATCAGTCATTAATCGCACCTAACACATTAATTATAACTCTTGCATCTTTTAACGTTTCTAAAAATTCCCAGTACATTTTTTCCAAGTTTGATTTTCTTGAAATATTTTGGCTCATTTGGAGGCATGCAGCTTTAAGACCTTTTGATGCCTCTATCTTTTGTCAAATTATGGCAACATGTAAAATGATGAAAACTTAAATTGATTCATTATTATGACACAGCAATGTGAAAACTATACTATAAACATCAATGTAACAAATGATATGACTAATTTAATCATTTACCTATGTAACTGTGATTAGGCTTTGGCTCTTCGTGTACGAATCTTGTCCGCGGGTCTTTACAGAAGTACGGATGAAGGTAAGGGTGCATCAGATGTCCGTGGTATGCTAGTGGATTTAAACCAGTAACCTGTCCTGGAAAAGACCTCAGACCCAACTGCAGACGTTGTGCATAATCTTGGAGTTGAGCTCGTTGTAAGTCCATGTTCAAATGAGAAGTACTCGCCGAGTAATACGGAAACTGTCCGCCACTCATCTTTAAACCAAAAGGCATTAAAGTCCCAGTATTACTATTTGAATTACACATTTTATCAAAATCAAAAGTGTATATTTAAGCAATAAAAATCCTTTTTCTCCAAAAAAGGAAAACAGAACAAATACAAGATAATGCTGTTTCTTTATGTACGATCATCAATAAGTTTGTATGAAGTCCGTAAAACAAGATCATTTATACCGTTTAAGTTAAAGATGTTAAACCACCCGCAGTAACCCGTTACTGTTTTGCAAATGTTTACTCGAATGTGATAGGCTGATCATTTAGCAATCAGGTGACTCTAAAGCTTAAAGCTTTCCGATAATGTTCAATAAACTGCCGTATTTCAACAGTGGACGTTGTTCAGAGCTATTAGCTCCGCCTCCAAATTTTCAACATCAATATTGACTGTCAATGTTAACGTTTTTCTGATTAAACCCATTTACACAAGTAAATAACAAGTGATGAAAGTCGATTCGTTAAAGACACAAACTTACTCTAGGCTTTAATGAAACAGGTCTTTAACGTAAGTATACAGTAATGTTATAAAATTGAGTGAGGAATTACAAATATTGTTTGAATAAATATTGATGAATTTACCTGATATAAATGAGAAAGAAAGGAACATAGATCTCTAACCCCCCACACTACTTCTCGCAATCCTTTTTAAAATTTAAAACAACATCCAATTAAATTTAAGTTGCACTTATGAAAAGTAATTAAAATTCGAGAAAAAATCAGTTTAGATTTAAATATGTTTTATATGAATGTTTTGTTTACAACATTTATATCAAACTAAAATTCATTACTTTATGTATATACAACACTACTTTTCCATGACACAAACATTCATCGATTAATTTCCTACCACATTTCATACATTATACAATTTATATTATTAAATATTATTGACAGTATTTTCCTAACATGATGTTTAATGCAGTCTAATAAATACAAGTGATGAAATTTCGTTAAGTTTGTTAAATGTACAGCACAGAATATGAACAATTCAATTTTAAATTAGCATTATTTTATATTTTATTGTTCGGGAATATAATGACAAGTTTACATTTTAAAAACACTGTATATATATTCAACACAAGGTCTGTTATGAATGACTTGATAATATTAACTTTATCCTCGCAGACGAATGCCTTTACCTAATAATTACCGCAAAGTTTAAATAATTTTATATGAAGAAGAAAGTGTTTCATGTCATCGACAATTTATTTATTTATTTATTTATGTAAAGACTTCTTGATAAGTCAATGTTTGTCGAATAGTATAAGATTTGTGCATACTATTCACGCAAATGTCATAGCTTATAATTTTAATTTATTATTTACCTATGTATCTACGGGTATGGTTGTACTCTGTACGGGTTCTGCCTCCGGGTCTCTTGGCAAATAGGAATATTAGTGCGGATGAATTATACAATAAACATGTATATAATGTTCAACGCTAGCTACTTAATTCCTACGGAAAACTCTTGTTTCCGCCATCAAATCTTATACAATATTCCAAAGTGCAAACTGAATTAGTTATATGTTAACATTTGTGATAGTTAAATAACAAATTACACGTCAGTAGACGAATTAAAGTTGTTACACAAACAAAATGTTAAATAAACAACATGTTGAATAAATTGTGCAAGAAGCAAAGAAATAAGTCGTTTGAAATATACTCCACTAAAAATTTAATGTTAGACGCCAAATATTATACATGTATATTAATTATAAGTGACGAATTACGTCTAGATGAGTTATTTTGGTTTTATTGTACAGTTAAAATGACTTATCACAAAGTAATTACTTTCAGTATTACCCGTTTAAAGCAATGTTCCATTACCCAATGACCACCGCCTCCGTGGTCGAGGGGTTAGAGTCGATGACTTATAATCCAGTTACCTCTCTGGCGTGGATTCGATCCCCGGGAGATGCTTTAGTAGTTTAGCGCGGAGGAAGGTAGTCTTGTACTGGTGTAACGATGGTTGTACTGGAACGATGGTTATGGACAAAATGCTAACGTATGAACGAAGTACTAGCTAATAAACAAAGTACTAAATTATGAACGAAGAACTAACTTATAAACAAAAACTATTTTATAAACAAAGTTCGAACTGTTGAACGAAATATTAACTTTTGAATGAAGCATTTACTTATGAACAAACTAAAAACTACAGGCATTTATAAAATACACGCTAGAAACCATTTTAAGTAAAAGTTAATTTCTAAGGTTTAGACAAACAAAAGTTACATGAATGCGGAAAACTATATTTTTTTATATAAAATTATTCTTCTTTGCTCTGACACAAAGTTATCTTGTACATTATTCTTCTAAAACATGTGTTCTTGTAACCTTTGAAAAATAAAGAAGATCCCTTTTCAATTACCTTCTACATATCTCATGAACACACTCCATATCTAATGCACACATCATTATCTCATGAACATACTCCATATAGCACGAACACACTTCATATCTCACGAACACACTCTGTATATCACGAGCACACGTCATATCCCATGAACACACTCCATATAGCATGAACACACTCCATATCTCAAGATCTCATGAACACACTCTGTATATCACGAGCACACTTCACATCCCATGAAAACACTCCATATAGCACAAACACACTCCATATCTCAAGATCTCATGAACACACTCTGTATATCACGAGCACACTTCATATCTCACTTACACACTCTATATCTCACGAACACTATTGAATCTTCTTCTATGTAGCTGCACCAACATATCAATTATGATAAGTGAAATTAACAAAACATCTATATATGAATACTGAAATATAATGTGACTATTACAATCCCTATAAGATTGTGTCTTCATATTACGTATACGGCCTACACACAGAGATTAGGTTTTTTTTCTTTAAAAAGAAACAGGCATTCCTTTATTTTGAGTAAAATTTCCAAATAACAGGCCAATACTTGCGAAATGGCAAATAATTAGGAAATCTTACTCAAAACTTCCAGATTTTAAGCAAGAGGCGATGAAAAATGGACTATGAAATAGTTTTTGACACATAATGCAATATGTAAGGCAAGCTTAATCATGAAAGTTTAATTAAGCACCTAAAACTCACTTTTTAAAGATGAAAATTACCATTTTTAACGAGAGTTTTTGCAGTATATACAATAGTTTTCCGACGAACTCCGTGACAGTTATCACATGAACTCCTTGACAAGTTATCATAAGAACTCCATCCCTCGTGTAACACTTCCTGCCCCGTGTAAGTGTCTCTTCAGAATAATATTAGTCGTGTTCCATGACCAAAAACCGTCCTATGCGCGCTTCAAAATAAGATAAGATATTATTAATGACATTGATATTTTCTTCAGATCAACTAGTTGTTTCAACTAATTTAACAAAATAAAGTGAGAGTTTTCACTTATATAACAAAATCTACTAATTTTAAAAGATAAATATCTTATGGTTATATATTTGCGATGTTTCGTATGTTAAATATTTGTAACTGATCTATTAAATGTCTTACTTCAATATAGTCATTTGCTGGATCAAAAAATGGATAAAAAATAGTCAAGTGACTTTGTTAGAGTTGATTCACCTCTGTGGATTAGAAGGCGGGGGGGGGGGGGGGGCAATCCAGCACGAGAACTGAGAACTTGCATCGTCTAGCGACGAGAAAATCATTCCACCGTAAACATTTCATGGTTTAGTTAGTCACCATAAACATTTCATGATTTAGTGAGTCACCATGAACATTTCATGGTTTAGTGAGTCACCATGAACATTTCATGGTTTAGTTAGTCACTATGAACATTTCATGGTTTAGTGAGTCACCATGAACATTTCATGGTTTAGTGAGTCACTATGAACATTTCATGGTTTAATGAGTCACCATGAACATTTCATGGTTTAGTGACTTACCATGAACATTTCATGGTTTAGTGAGTACAGTTTGTAAAGCTCGTCAGCAAATATGTTTTGTAAAGAAATATCAATTTATTATTCCAATTTTTGTATAAGGATTTAATGATATATATATAGACATAACTACTGCGAGATTTGATCTATTAATAAATATTACTTAATACTGTATTTTCTTGCTTTGAAAGTTAGAAAAATTAAAACTTTGCAAGTGTACAATACAGGTTAGCATTTACACAGAGTAGTAGCATCTTTTGTTATTTCCTCACTCGACGCTAAGCTCTTTAGGTTGATGACTGACTTAACACTACTTGTTCTATCTATTTTCATGTGTGGAAGTTGTTCAGCTAACATAAGGAAGATAAGCGATTATACTCAATGTCCTGAGATGCGCCTTAGCTCAATCTCCATCAGTTAAACTCAAAAGATTTGCACAGTACCTGTGAGAAGTAAACCCCCAACCAAATAATTCTTCATTTTTAAAAGCAGATCTTTAGTTTCATAAATTTAAAAGTATGAAAAGTTTATACTGTTGATTTTATTCAATCATAAGTCACACTCCTTCATCAATCCCTTTATTAAACAGTTTGCAATTCTTGTTACCGTGTAAATGATAAGTAGGATATTCAAATTAACATAAGAAAAGTGTTTCATAAGAATTGAAACAAAGGATTGGTGTTATTGTTGGCAAAACTAATAAGCATCTATTAAGAAAGTAATCACACGGAATTTAAGATATTTCTGTCAGTCGTGTATTACACAAGTAGGTTCATTTAGAACAACATTACTTAGTGCGGCATTGATAACGACTCGTCCCATAATGAGTCGACTCATCTTAGTTTCGATTCGCCCCACATCCCCAGATTTGTACCAATACGTTTTAATATTATTCTTGTTGTTCGTAATCAAGTTTTCAATTATAAAATGGAGATGTGGGGCATTGCTACTGTAACAGTATATAAAGATAAAGACTACTTAATGGTTTTAGTCCCACTAAGATAAATCTTACCATAATAATTACTGTACATGTACATTATATTTCTAAAAATCTTAAGAATACTAAAACTTAATTTTATTAAGTCATGCCTTCTATCAATAAATGTAAATTCTATAATTTTATAATTCCTTATTTACAACTGTTTAATTGAACCGCTGAAATCCTATGCATGATGAACTGTTGCCCGGTCAACATTTTCAACTGTTACACCCCTGTCATCGGGTGTTTCCGTTAACGCCGCCCGCCACTATTCGGTTATCGAACGCTTCTCAACTCAATGTACGGTAGTATGTTTTTTTTTAGAAAATGAGACGTAGGATTCACTTGTCAACAATTAAAATATTTAACTTTAAATGTTATTTGTATGTTGTTGTAATATGCAATATAGTTTGATTGCA